TTAGCTCGGATTCACCCGACTAAACCCATTTTCCTTTGACCAAACTTATTTTCCGAACTTCCTCAGTTAACCCCCTGGTTTTCCCCATTTCTGCTCTAAATAAACCATAACTCCCTTTACCAGTTTTCCCACTTGGTAAGGTTTTCCCGAACACGGGTGTTACAAGTCTCCCCCACTTATAGTGAGACTCAAACTTATAAACTGTCGTACGAGTTACGACGAATATACGACAATTTATTAAATTAATAATAATTATATTACGACGATTATACGATGTTTTTATAAATGAAGTTAAAAAAAAAATTCAAATTAAAATTTAAATTAAAAAAAGAATTAATTTACAATTTAAATTGTAATTAAAATTCAAAATAAAAATTAATTTTAATAATTACAAAAGAAACCCTAAAGATCTAAATCTAAACTAATGTCGATCCCGTCATCGTCTTCTTCCCATCGTCCTGCTCTACCCGTTGGCCTATAAATCCGAACCGGCCTTCCCTCTATAGACAAGTTTTCCTGCAAGTCCGGTGGAGGTTCGGATGTAACTGAATCATCATTCCTTACACATGTCCTTAACTGAGATACATGGAACACATTGTGAAATGCGACCAAGACTGGTGGCAATTCCAGCTTGTAAGCAACCGGCCCAATCTGTTCCAGGATCTTGTACGGTCCCATGTACCTCGGCTGCAACTTACCAGTCGCATCAGCGCAGTCCTTACCCTTGTAAGTGATCAGTTTGACAAAAACTTGATCGCCGACCTGAAATTCCAACTCTTTTCTCCGTTCCGCATAACTTGTATGTCTGTTCTGAGCCTCCTTCATCTTAAGTTTTAAAACTCTGATCCGTTTGGTCGTCTCTTCCACAAAGTCTCGACCAAAAATGCTGCGCTTCCCCACTTGGGTCCAGCATAGCGGTGTACGGCAAGGCCGACCATACAACGCTTCATAAGGCGACATCCCAATGCTTGTTTGGTAACTGTTGTTGTAGGAAAACTCTGCCAAAGGCAGGTAATCCTTCCATTTACCGCCTCAATCCAACACACAAGCCCGTAACAGATCCTCCAACGCCCTTGTGGTTCGTTCCGACTGACCATCGGTCTGAAGATGGTAAGCCGTACTCATGTGGACCTTACTCATGAACCGTTTCTGCAAAACCCTCCAGAATGCCAACGTGAACCGCGAGTCCTGATCCGACACAATACTCGTCAGTACACTGTGCAGCTTGACTATTTCCTCAACATATAACTTAGCCAAAAAATATGCCTTGTCATGCTTGTTTACGGCTAAGAAATGTGCATACTTAGTTAGCCGATCCACAATGACCCAGCTAGAATCCATCTTCCCGCACATAGGCAATCTTGTCACAAAATCCATCGTGATCATGTCCCACTTCCACTCGGGAATTGGTAAGCTTTGCAACAAGACGATTGGTACTTGATGCTCGGCCTTAACCAATTGACAGGTTTGCCGGCCACCCATTCAGCCACGTCTCGCTTCATCCCGACCCAGTTGTAATACCGCATGAGATCCTGATACATCTTCGTCGATCCTGGGTGAACCGCGAACTTAGACTGGTAAGCTTCCCTTAACCAAGATCGTCCCATTGTTCGAAGTCTGGTACTCTGTCTGATCCATCTTTGCCCATTTCATCAGATTTTCATCTTTTTCCTGGGCAATCCTTACTCGGCTTAGCAGATCCGCTTGATCAGCCGCGCCTAAACCCAATGGTTCCACATCATCGCTCAGGGCTGATAGCCATAGCATCCCAACCATCCAGACCAATCCCTCAACATCCTGTTCGGTCAGGGCCGCAACCCGCTTCCGACTTAGCGTATCAGCAACCAGATTTGCTTTACCGGGATGGTAAGCAATATCCTAGCCATAGTCGGCCACGAATTCCATCCAACTCCTTTGCCTCATATTCAGCTCAGGCTGAGTGAATATGTACTTCAAACTCTTGTGATCGGTAAAAACTTAGACTTTCCGACCGTAAAGGTAAGATCGCCAACTCTTTAACGTGAACACTACCGTAACCATCTCCAGATCGTGAGTAGGGTAATTCACCTCATGGTTTCTTAACTGCCTTGAGGGATAGATGATTACCTTACTCTGCTGCATCAGCACACAATCCAATCCCATCCGCGACGCATCCGTGTAGACTACATACGGCTGATCCGGCTCAGGCAAAGCCAGAACTGGCGTACTAGTCAACATCTCCTTAAGCTTGGCAAAGCACTTCTCACACTCAGCCGACCACACAAATGGTACGTCCTTACCCGTTAGCCGGGTCATTGGCTGAGCCATGCTCGCAAATCCCTTAATAAACCGACGGTAATACCCAGTTAAGCCCAGAAAACTTCTTATCTCCGAGGCATTCTCAGGTCTAGGCCAATTTGTGATTGCCTTAATATTCTCCGGGTCAACAGACACACCCTTGTCCGAGACCACATGACCCAAGAATCCGATATCCCTTTGCCAAAAGGTGCACTTACTGAGCTTGGCAAACAGCTTATGCTCCCTTAGCCGATTCATAACGGTCTTTACATGAACCGCATGTTCTTCCTGACTCTTGGAGTAAACAAGTATATCATTAATAAAGATGATTACAAATTCATCCAGACAGTCTCGGAACACGTTGTTCATCAGCTTCATAAAGGCCACAGGAGCATTAGTCAGCCCGAAGGGCATGACTACGAACTCGAAGTGACCATACCTTGTCCTATAGGCGGTCTTCCTTACATCCGACTCTTCTAAGGGTATCTGATGATAACCCGAAGCCAAATCGATCTTGCTGAGCCAAGTCGCCCCTCGAAGTTGGTCCAACAACTCATCTATCCGCGGTAAAGGGTACATGTTCTTCACAGTAACCTGGTTAAGCCCACGGTAGTCGATACATAGCCGAAAACTCCCATCTTTCTTTTTAACAAACAGCACCGGTGCACCACGGTGAACTGCTTGGTTGGACAAACCCTTTCTCCATCAGATCGTTTAGCACCGGTGCTTCTTCAGTTCAGCCATCTCAGCCGGAGCCATCCGATACGGTGCCCTGGATATCGGAGCCGTTTAAGGCTCAAGCTCGATGATAAACGGATCTGA